TGTATTTTGTCGGCGAATGTAGCATTCGTATACATCAATGTACCATAAAACAGCCATGAAGTGAATGACAAGTGTTACCTGAGGGATGGCTGGCCAGGACAGTGGGAGAAGCTCCCAATTATTGAGCTGAATGGTAGAGGCAGGTGATATAACCCAGGCAGTGACAAGTTTGAAACAAAATAAACAGGCGAGTGAGAGTTGGGTGTGGAGCTCGCAAGCACAACGATTAACATTTTGCAAAATCCTTTTGAAAAATCAAAATGACCGGATTGCATGTTGAGTGCTGCGTTCTTTCACCACTTTTGCCTTCCCGGCAGTCTGATTTGGTTTGGAAACTTGCCCACAAGTGAAAGACAGATGTGTATAGTAAATTAATGTGCCATAAAGCAAGGACGTCGTATCATGCTCCAAGCCAAACAAGTGCTACTGAAATTTAACAGAGCATTGCGATTTGAGAGAGACATGGTTTCACATTACCGAGGCAGAGAGAGAACACGTTTCTAGTAATTGTTGAGTTTGAAGATTGCAGCAACGTTGAACACCATTGTGGGGAATTTGTTTCGAACAAAGTGTTCAATTTTGATTAAACATTACAGAACATTAAATACAGAACATTTGTAAGTGCTGAACATTCGCGCTTGTGTTAGGATGTTTCACCATGGCTTAGGAGCTTCCAATTGTCTCAATGGCACAACCACCGATGGAACGAGGAAAGTTGTGTAAATGCGTAAACCCAATGGAACGTGTTAATTTTTAGTGTCTCAGACCGACACACTGAATACTCGAACAAGTGATAATGTAACGTAATAATCCTTGATTTGATGATGCGCCTTATCACACGCCGTTGAGACGTCTCAAAGTGCTTCACAGGATACACTGTAAAGTATGTTGACTGTGTATTTTGTGGGCGAAAGGCCATAGCCAACCTGTCCCCCCCCCACCCCCCCACCCCCAACAACAGCTTTGGAGTGAGAGAGTGAATGACCCATATTATTTGGGGGATTGTCGGCCAGAACATTGTGAGAAACTCTCTTCTCTTTTCAAACAAGTTTCTCGAATAAGTGATCAATTTTCTTTTGAGGGATTATTACCCCCGGAAAGCGATCCGACAATTGACTAACAACAGGTAAACTGTGGCGTGTGGAGTAAGGAAACTTGCCTAACGTTTCGCCCTACCTGGGAGCGAGAGCCAGTAGTCCACATTCTCACCTTTTTAGCAGGATGGAATATTCTCCTTAAACAGAATAATATTAGTGATCTGCACATTTCTTGTCAAACGTTGATTGGTGTGAAGTTGGGTGGGCAGTTAAAGACTGTGAGACAGATCATTTGATTTTTCTGCGCCAATATTCATAACCAGGGTTGCTGCTAACCTAAAATTGCAAGGAGTCGAAATACGTTTCAGCACTTAACATATCACCCTTCACGCAGATTAACATGGCAGATAATCTACAGAGTAAAGTCTTTACCAACAGTTTCCTCCTACAGCCCTTCATTCTCGAGACCTTACTGTCCATCCTGGGATGGGCCACATTAACAACAACAGATTAAATCTTTCATGTCAGGAGGATGTCCCAAGGCGCTGTTTTTTCGTACAGGATCAACATATTTGCCCTGTAGCACCCATCAATCCTCACCAGGATTTTAACAATTTACCAGCGGAGTTTATTATGCTTTGCCTTTTGCCTCCAACATCCTAAAGTATATACACAGGGAAAGAGATATAATAAGCCTGCAGACTGACTGTCAAACATGACAAGTTATTTTTAAATTTGGCGAGCAAAGAAGCAATGAATCTTCGAACACCGATTGTAAACCGTAATGTTTCAAATGTCAAATTGCAGGAATAGAAATGAATCATTGTGGAAACTCTTGCACGAAAACAATAGGAAACAATGAGTTTCAAACAGTATGTATTTTTCTAATCATAATCCCGCTTTGGAAGTGAAGGTATGCGTCACTTTGCCCAATCGGACCCTAAACTTAGCTTAAATTATGATAAATACTTTAAGGAAATGGCAAACAAATCCATAAGCTGATGTATGACTACGGTGATATCTGCAAATACTGAATCATCCAATAGTTCACTTGAAGGGAGCATTTCTCAAAAGCAACTAGTGTTTCACAGCATGACGTGACGCTGTGACAAAGAATACCTCCCAGCTGTAAATTGCTCAGGTTTAGGGTGAGCGAGAACGCTGGCAATTCCACAATCACTGTTTACCAAGTGGGAAGGTAATGCACTATTAGAGACTACTTTTCAGTCCATTTTCACTCTGTTTATGGACTTGCAATGCTTTTCGATTATTCCCATTACGTAGTTGTTTTACAGAAACCTATTTATTGTCGGGCATCATTTCCCCAACTTGAAAGACAAAATTGACCCTGGATTCATCTGACCTCGAATCCCTGTTGTTTTATAAACACAGCTGACAGGAATGCTCACAGCATGGGTTAAGATACGGAACATCAACTGCTGAGAGCCCGGGGGGGGGGTGTTGGGAGTGTGGGGGCAAATAATAATCCATTGCCCCAGAAAAGCATGTTTCCAGTCGAGATTGTGGGAAGTTTGTTTTTTCAAAATAAAGTAAAAATAAATCTTAAGCAAAGAAGTGAGTTTTACTTCCGTTTGGGTCTGCAAAGACAATTTCCGCACATTCCTGGGGAAAAGAATACTCCAGAGACAATTTGGCAAAACTCTGATGAAAGGTCACAGGCCTGCAACGTTAACTCATTTCCCTCTCTCCATGGTTGCTGCCTGACCTGCTGCGTGCTCCCAGTCACTTCTGTGTTTATACCAAATTTCCAGCATCTGAGGTACTTTGCCTTTTGATGTAACTCTGAGTGGGTGGGCAGATGCTGTGGGTTGGGGAAATAGGGAAAAGAGAAGCAAACGTTGCAACAATCACTAAACCACATTCAACCACAGCTTCCAGGGCTCCCACAACCTTGTTCTGCTCTGAGCATTCGTACGTTAAATTCTTCCCCCACCGCCTTCGCCACCAACCAAGGGGACATAATTATAAGTACCAGATCTAATAGGGAGTTTAGGAAGAACAGCTTCATGTAAAAAGTGCTGAGAATGAATAAGAACAATTTTGTCACTTAATCCACGACTGTTTGTGGGACACCGCTGTGCACAATTGGTTGCTGGGTTTCGCCCAGAAAAAAACAGCCGATTCACTTAACAGTGAAAAGTGTTCTGTGAAGGGCTTTGAGACGTCTCGAAGACGTGATAAGGCACTATATCAAATGAAAGGATTATTATTATTATTTTATTATAGTAGCTGTTTCCATACCGTGTCATTCTATGCAACTATGTCTATGTCAGGAAGAGGAGTCTTTAAAAAAAGAAAACACACTTTAAAGCCACAGGCAGGAATCAATGTGTGACTGAAAGACTGCGTGCGTGCGTGTAAGGGGGAATGCAAAACAAACCCTGACCCTATCAGCAAGGAACTTGAATCATTTCCATTTCAACAATCCCCCCACTCACTCCAAAGAGTAGAATCCAATTGAATCATTATAATCAGATTCACTCTCAATCTAAAGCTGAGTATCTGAGATGAGACCTACTCAATACTGGTCCCCATTAATGCGCATTCAAGAGCCAAGCATAACATTGTTTGTCCAACTAGTTTTGAAGTTTGCAGGATTTTGGATGCATTAAATTATCTTAAATCCTGAGTGCATTAAACCACATCAGCTGCCATCCATTATTTCTGGACGGAATCCAAAACGACTTGGCTCCTCCAACAGTGGCAATTGCAATAGTTTTTGTAAAATGCTTCAGCTGATATTCACTTTTTCTTAATACTCCTATCTACATTAAAATGCATTAAATTACAGCTAATAGGTTGGGAAGATGTGTTGCGGCGGTAATGAGTTTCAAAAATTCCTGTAAAATATGCAGTCACACATGTACACTCATAAACCGAGAATTCCTGCAGGACTGAAAAACTGCGCTGCCAACATTCTCATTGAAGCAGTAAAGCCAGCACACCATCTAATGTAGCAAGAACTATTATCTTCCAAAAGGTGAGTCAAAACTTTAGTTTCTTGTGTTTTAACCCCCCCCCCCATTGTTGAGCATACCCGATAGGCCCAAACATCATCATCATAATAATAATCCTTGCATTTGATATGCAAAATGGTCTCCCCTCTTCATTTGCCTTCAAAATATACAGTTCCCTTTACAGTATAGTCTGTGAGACACCTCAAAGACATGATAAAGCACTAAATCAAATGCAAAGATTATATATCATATATATTATTATTTGTTCTATAATCTGTGCCCCTCCGCCGTCCCCACTCGTACGATTTTTAGTCCATTCTGAATGTTTCTACAATAAAGCAGATTGACATAATGGCGCTGGGTCGATCAAAGGTAACGATGGCAGGTTCCAAAGCTAACATAACTTGCATCTTCTATTCACAAGTCAAAGGCTTCTATTACTTCTACGCAACTACCAGCAGTAAAATGTATACCTGATTCTACGGTCTGTGTCGTCTGAAGAGGGTGCAGAAGGGAAAGGTGACCAAAAGCACGGTCAAAGAGGTCCGTCTCGAGGCGGGTTTGAACGTGCAGAGTGAGGGATTGAGTGAGGGGGATTGAGACGGAGGGATTGAGAAGGAGGGATTGAGTTCCAGAGAGCTGGGGTAGGAAAACTCTCCCACTGATAGCGAGGTGGACGACGGGGACGAAACGATCGGGCCGTGAAGCAAACAACGAGATTAAAGTCAATTAATGACAAATCATTTGTTGAGTGAGATTTTAAAAACAGCTCACCGTTAATAATTGACTTACTTTATCTGAGCCACTAACAGGTATACAATGAACAAAAGACAAACTTGCAACACACTGAGTGCCCCTCCTAACCAGTAGTGAAGATAGCACATCCAAACTAAACCAGGTAGGTTGACTGAACTGAAAATACTAACCGTGTCTGTGTTGCACGCACTTGTTTCAATAGAGGGTCATCAATGCTACAATTACATACCTCTCTCCTTCGAGATGCCCAACAGGTCTGTTTGATTTTCCACACCACAGCAGCCACCAACAGCAACGACAGGAAACAGCTACAAGGAAATAAAACAGAACCATAGCTGTGATTTCTGTGTTTTTTTTAACTCCTTCGGACGAACTCAAAGAACCCTATTTCACAAAAACAATGCAGTATATTTTCTAAGTCTGAGAGTTTCGGTGGTGCAGAAACAAACCTTCCAATAAATGTCCATTTGAGAGATTGGGTGTGAAATTCGATTTTTAAACGTTGCTTTGCTCCCACGCCTCATCCTTCAGACAGAAACTCGTCTGAGAGGCGCAGGTTTCTCAATCTGTTGATCTCGGGCTCAGTGCCAACATGCCTGAGCAGCAGGAAAGCAAGCCTGTTTTTTTCCCTCTCTACTTGGGTTAATATTCATAAATTGGCAACTGTTCAGAAGAGAACAAAACACCCGATTCAATTTACGGCGGTGGGGGGGCGCGGTGCGTGGTGAGGGTGGGGGTGACAGCTGGGACGACCCATCGGGAGTTCATCTTAAGGGGTTCGAGCCCCCATGACGGGATATTGAACCCAGTGTCTCGGGTCATGCTCCAGTGCAGGGCTGGAGGTGTTGAAGGTACCCGGAATTGGAGATCAAACTGAGGTCTCGACTGCCCCTGTGCAGGTGGTATTAAAAGAGATTCTCTTTAGCATCTCAAATACAAGAGCCTGCACTTACATGGTGCATTTCAAGATAATAATAATCCTTACAACTGATACTGCGCCTTCCACATCAGGAGGACGCCTCCGAGTACTTGACGGGGTATAATGTTAAGTGTAGTGACTGTGTATTTTGCAGATGAACACGTCAGCCAATGTGTGCACGGCAGGGTCTCGCAAACAGCCATGACGTGAATGGCCAATTGTTTAGATCTGGGGGATGGTTGGTCAGGACTGGCTCGAGGCCTCTACACTCCCACAGAGAGAGGAACAAACTGCTCAGGGATACATTGGCATCCACTGCAGGTACAAGATTAACGCTACATTACAATTGTTTCCACTGACAAGGAAGAGCCCCCCCACCCCAACAATCCTAATTAGCTGTCTCTCATCCCCCGAGAGATACCTTTGCAGAAATTCTTCCTAAAGTTCATCAAATGAAAAGCGCTCAATGTTAAACACAACTTTAAGTGGAGTCCTGCAGCTCAGTGGTTAGAGCACTCGCTTTGCAAGCGAGACACCTGGGTTCAATTCCAGGCAGAGGGCGAAACCTTGGGCAAGTTTCCTTACTCCACACGCCTAATAATAATCCCTCCAAAACAAAAAATAATCGGTTGGTCATTTTCAATCCACAGCTGTTTGTGGGACATTGCTGTGCGCAATTGGCAATTCGCCCACAAATATACAGTCAATTCACTTTACAGTCTATTCTGTGAAGCGCTTTGAGATGTTGAGAAGACGGGAAAAGACACCATCATATCCTACAGAGAAGCACAAACAGAAGTGTCTGGGAACTCTCAACATGTCAGGCAGCATCTATGGAGAAAGGAAAGTGAGTCAACGTTTCTGGTCCATGACCTTTCGTCAGAACGAACGTTGACTCACTTTCCTTTCTCCATAGATGCTGAGTGTTTCGAGCAACTTCTGTGTTTGTTTCAGATTTCCAGCATCTGCAGTATTTTACTTTTTTTTAATATCCTTCTGATCTTCCCTCTGTACATACTTCCGTAATCATCAATCACTCTCCTAACCAGATCCCAATCCAGAGAAGGAGAGACGATAGACTGTTCAACATTATTAAAAACATTTGATGGCATTGATACTAAAATATGTCTACTCGTTATTGATAGTCAATCAGAGAGCATAAATTCACATTTATTGATCGAGACATAAAAGTGGGTCATGAATTTATTCCTAATAACTATTTTGGCCCCAGGCAAGTCCCTCTTACCTCCTCTCTTCCCAGTGAATTTTTGAGCCTTGGTATTCAGAATGATGTAAAAGCTTAGTGAAAGCACAGCAATTCAAACCCAGAACCTTTAAATCTCAGGTCCAGCGCTTGAAAAGACTTAGCTTCATCTGCATTCAAGCTTGGGTTAGAGGGAGAAAGTGGAGGTGATTCAAATAAGAAAATACATCACATTAAATGGTTCCAGTAGGAGATATATCACTGCAAATTACAAAGAGGTGAATAGGAAATATCCTAGTGATTTCATAATAATTGGTCTGAAGTGAAAACCGGTGTAAAAATAAACTTGTTTCGCTGCATAAATCTGGTCATTCTCCAGCCCGCGATCAAGGCTGCACATAAATAAGACTCCTGTTAAATAACATTGATTTGAAATAAAAGGTCTGTGTGGGAAAGGAAGTTGCGCACGATTACATGCAATTTCACTGAACCGCAGATTGATTTAATTTAAATATATGATAGTTAGACAGCCATTTCATCCCAGTTTCCTATCCCAATAAAGAGAATAGCAGCTTCACACTTGAAATTCGCAGGATCTAAAAAAAAACAATTGTGCAGCCGAATTGAAGATATTCATTAGAACAGTCACAGTGTTCCATTCCTCGGGTTTCAGGCGCACCTGAAATTAACAAATGTTAATATGCGGCATTATTTGTACGCTTGACAGAGCTGTACATCATTTACAAGTGCGTTCTGCACTGCCAAACCCAAATGATCCACTCGTTTTTTACGCACTGTAGAAACCGCCAAACTGACAGAGAAGAAGCCATTGCTTTCACACTCATTCCACCCTCATTACGTCCCTCATTCTGCAAGTTCGGGACTTGATTGTACGTTGACCTCGCAAAGTCACAAACGCTAGGACTGCAAAGGGCTGGCTCGACCCTCTGAGTGTTGGGAACAGCTGACCTGTAACGGGTGAATCAACTCACAAATTAACTTACAAGTAGGTGAGATATCGACAGAGGTAAAAATGCATTGGGATTCACGCAGAGCTGCAGCAACGAAGCAAAGTGGCAGTCACTGATATAAACGCAAGCGGTCAGACAAGCAGCACATCGTACGTTAGATTGGAAATCATTGGCGTCTAACAAATGTTACTGCTGAATTCCTGGAGTAGTCAGCGATGTGAAATGAAACCCACTGAAGGCCTGCTTCTCTGAATGATAGATGCTTTGGGGTTATGTACTCACAGATGGCTTTAATGTAGAAAGATGCAGTGTGTGCTCGGACTTCCTGCCGAGCTTGCCAATTTCCTGTCAGCTCACAAATCACACAATGGCCACATATGGGACAGAAACAGATATATATATTGGATCATAAGATCGCAAGATTGGTTTGGCTGAAGAAGGCCCTTTGGCCCATCCGATGTCATCGCCCTTCAGAATACCCACCCAACCATCACCTAGCCTCAACCAAACTTCCCGACAATCTGCGCGAGTGGTTAATTCCCTTCCCCAAACCCCCTCGGGCAAAGAAAAAAAATTGCCTGGGTATTTTGTCCTGGAATTACCCTTTGTAACCCTAAAAGCTCTGTCCTCTTGTTCTACAGTCTTAGAGCATCCTGACACCTTATTCTGAAATTGCTTTTTCAATCTCTTCAATAATCTGAGTGTTGCGCATCAAAGCATGGAAACGACGGCGATTTCACATCCCAATTCTTTTCTAAAATGAGACTGGCAGCAGCTGCGAACATAAACAACTCCCGCTCGCTAAATGTAACATTTCAGACATGTTTACAGCTTCGACAACGAGTAAACGGAAAAGCACTGGAGCTCATCTATCTTCCATTCAGGGCTGTGAGACATGACATCTTAACCCAGCAGGTACATTGTGTGAAGCACTTCTGCAACTTCAAGGAAGAATCAACAAACTGATCGGATTTAGGGCTCCCACATGTGAGGGTCTTTATTGAGATGTGAAATATTCTTTGTGGTGGCAGCAGAGGAGCAATGGGTACGCAATTGGGGGCAAATTAAGGCAAAAAGAAAATTGAGGACGCTCATTTTAAAGAAAAATAAAATAAAAGCGGTTTTCCGTGTATTCGTATCACAGGAAAACTGAACACATTTTCTTTGCAATTTCCTGCTTTTCCACAAAACATATACCATATGTGGTTTAGATACTCTTAAGCTTAATGATGGGTTTTCATGTGCATATGTGGTAAATATATGCCCTAGGCAGTGAAAATACGAGATTTTAAATTATTCTGTTGAATTCTCGGTCTCTTTCATTTGGTCTCTGCTTCCTCACATTAATCATATCAATTTTTGTTCCTTAGCAGATATGTTTTTTTTCTCTCCCCCCCACCATCAATCCCGGTTAAAAAGAAACTTCCGTTCGGAGTTTTATTAACACATTAAAAAGTGCAAAGTAAAGGCAGACCGAGAAAAAAAATCTAAATCTTTCCTCTGTGCATTATTTTCTGTGGATACACAACATAAAATGAATTGACTGTTCCATAAATATACAGTCATTTCACTTTACAGTATATTCTGGGAAGCGCTGTGTTTTAAAGAATCAACATTTCCGGCTTCAACCGTCTCCCTCGGGAGTCTGTTCCACAGGTTCACTGTTCTCTCATTGAAATAGTGTTTGCGTAGATTCTTTCCGAATTTACGCCACATCAATCGCAGGCCGTGAACTCTGGGGAAGATAACCAAAAGTACGGTCAAAGAGGTAGGTCTTGAGATGGATCTTCATCGAGGCGAGGGAGGGAGTTAATTGGGACTTGTGGATGGAGTTTCAGAGTGTGGGAGCAGATGGGCTGAAAGCCCACCCTCCAATGGTGGGGTGGGGAAGATGTGAAGCAGCCCATTGTCTGTTGAGCGAAGGGGAGCAGCGAGATGGGTAGGGTTTGAGGAGGTCGCAAGGATAGGGTGGGGCGAGACCATGGAGGGATTTCAAGGTGACGAAACTGCCACAATGAAATGTTGACATAGGGGAGGGAACAAAAATCAAACACCATACTGTTCATTCAGTATGCATGGTCAACCATTTAACTGTATTATATGTAATTAGAAAGATCTTCTCTAATGTATAAATGACCTTCTGCAACAGTCAACACAAGTTTTGGGCTTGCTTAATTCGATTTTCAATAGAGATAGCATAACAAGCATGGAAAT